GTTTTATGTGATTTCTAGGGTGTTGTCAAGGTGTTTTGGGTGGTTGCTAGGGCATTGTTAAGATGTTCTGTGTGGTTGGTTGCTAGAGTGTTCTGGGTTCTTGCTAGTGCATTGCTAGCGTGTTCTGGTAGGTTGCTAGGGCATTCCTAATGTGTGCTGGGTGGTTGCTATGGTGTTGCTAAGGTGTTTTATGTGATTTCTAGGGTGTTGTCAAGGTGTTTTGGGTGGTTGCTAAGGCATTGTTAGGATGTTCTGTGTGGTTGGTTGCTAGAGTGTTCTGGTACTTTGCTAGTGCATTGCTAGCGTGTCCTGGTAGGTTGCTAGGGCATTCCTAAGGTGTGCTGGGTGGTTGCTATGGTGTTGCTAAGGTGTTTTATGTGATTTCTAGGGTGTTGTCAAGGTGTTTTGGGTGGTTGCTAGGGCATTGTTAAGATGTTCTGTGTGGTTGGTTGCTAGAGTGTTCTGGGTTCTTGCTAGTGCATTGCTAGGGTGTTCTGGGAGGTTGCTAGGGCATTCCTAATGTGTGCTGGGTGGTTGCTATGGTGTTGCTAAGGTGTTTTATGTGATTTCTAGGGTGTTGTCAAGGTGTTTTTAGGTGGTTGCTAGGGCATTGTTAAGATGTTCTGTGTGGTTGGTTGCTAGAGTGTTCTGGGTTCTTGCTAGTGCATTGTTAGGGTGTTCTGGGAGGTTGCTAGGGCATTCCTAATGTGTGCTGGGTGGTTACTATGGTGTTGCTAAGGTGTTTTATATGTTTCTAGGGTATTGTCAAGGTGTTTTGGGTGGTTGCTAGGGCATTGTTAAGATGTTCTGTGTGGTTGGTTGCTAGAGTGTTCTGGGAGGTTGCTAGGGCATTCCTAAGGTGTGCTGGGTGGTTGCTATTGTGTTGCTAAGGTGTTTTATGTGATTTCAATGGTGTTTTGAGTGGTTGCTAGGGCATTGTTAAGATGTTCTGTGTGGTTGGTTGTTACAGTGTTCTGGGAGGTTGCTAGGGCATTCCTAAGGTGTGCTGGGTGGTTGCTATGGTGTTGTTAAGGTGTTTTATGTGATTTCAAGGGTGTTGTCAAGGTGTTTTGGGTGGTTGCTAGGGCTAAGAGAGTTCACCACAAAAAAAAAAAAAAAACATTATCATAATTTGTGATGTTATTCCAAACCTGTATGACTATATGTTATTAAAGAGTATATTTTCGATGAACTGTATTTCATAATATATGCTTTCCTGTACCTAAAAAATAGAAGAGCATGACACAAGCAACACAAGTCAAAGGTTTGATCCCCATGGATTCATGGACTAATAAAAATGTGTATGCCATCAATGCAATTCAAGGTGCTTTGTATAAAAGCATCTGGAAAACGGATAATTTTCTGGTAAATAATTGAAAAGTAAATCAGGTCCAAAACAACATTGGATCCCATTGACTTTCATTGTGTGTTTTCAATATGTGATTTTAGAACAAATAAAATAATCTAGGTTTGAAATTGTGTGGGTATAAATTAATGATGACAGAAGTTTCAATCTTAAAATATGGCATTAGTTTTAGACAGAAGTATGAAAAACAAACACATATTTTACTGTTTTGTGAGTTACTGCTTGTCAAATTTCATATTTACAGCCCAAACAACAAATTAAAAATGCAAACTGTGTTTGGTCACTTTACATGGTGGTCAGATGGTCTCTCCGTGTGTAAATGAGCAGTATTTAGCCTAGACAACATATGGTACAATATGAGTCACACACACACACATGCATGAGACGCACACAGATGAAGAAATAGAACTAAGTTCTGTCATTCCTGTGAAAAATGAGTTCAATTTCAGTCTGACCACTTTAATTTCTGTGCCGTTGTGTGTTCATCAGTCAGCTCATGTTGTGGTTCTAGACCATGTGACCTGAGACCGAAGCAGTAAACGCAGTAATAACCGAGTAAAAGAGAGGAGACTAAATTTTACCTGAAAATAATGCAATGATGATGATTGTGATGATGGTTATGAAGATGACAATGATGAAGATGGATTATGATGACTGTAACTTCCTCATCTGGACTGAGTAGCTGATGCTGAAAGAGTCAAACACACAGAGATACTCTCACACACGCAAATGTTTGTTTCACGATATAGACACTTCTGTGGTGTTTTTTGTTATTTTGGAGCTCAAAACATGGGTGATGAAATAAGAAATATGTCCAAAAAGTGCAATAAAACTGAAAAGAAAAACTTATACATATAAGTTTGTTAAACGTGTGTGTGTGCAAATCAAAACTAATAATGATCACCGTGGCCCTGTTTACAGCTGGTATTAAGATGTGTTTTGGTCGATCGGATCACAAGTGGACGATGTTAAATACAGGTGTAAACGTGTCTAAAACGATTTAAAGCTTTTCCACCACTTCCAGAGGTAGTCGGAAACACATTCGACCGGATTGCTTTCATTATGTAAACGCTGTGGTCGAATGCGTTCAAACATCCTTGAAGCAAATATTCCAGCAAAATAAATAAAATGCTTCCAAAAATTAAGATATGGTGCAAAAAAAAAAGTCTCGACAAGTTCTTGTTTTTTACAACAACGTCACACGTGCAAAAGTGCTGTGTTGTTTCATTGTGTGTTTTCAATATGTGATTTTAGAACAAATAAAATAATCTAGGTTTGAAATGATTTGGGTATAAATTAATGATGACAGAAGTTTCAATCTTAAAATCAAAAATGGCATTAGTTTTAGACAGAAGTATGAAAAACAAACACATATTTTACTGTTTTGTGAGTTACTGCTTGTCAAATTTCATATTTACAGCCCAAACAACAAATTAAAAATGCAAACTGTGTTTGGTCACTTGGCCGAATATTGATTTCATACAACAATTCAATTAATAAGTTAATAGACTTGTTTTTCCTCTATTTTGTTAATAATAGTTGTAAACCGTAAAGCCACGTTGTTTCAATAGCAAATGCATTCGTGCCCATCTGTGCGGCTGGTCTGAAGACGAGGTGTGTTCAGGAGCATTGTCGGCACGTTGCTATTTTAAGGAACTGAAATACACAGAGACATGACTCTAGACCAGGTTTCAGGTCTATTTCAGTTGCTGAAAATAAAATATTTTAGATGTTTCCTGTCCACTAGTCTGAAAAAAACACTTTATGAAAAGCCAAAAAGGCCAAAAATCTCAAAATTGACAAATGCATGAAATAACACTGTTTAAGAGAACAGGGACAACCCTTTTAGACCATGCGCTTAGATCTTTGAAATAGGGCCCATAAGCTTTGTCGGCTGAAGACCCCGGTTTGGTTTAAAGATGAAAAACGTACCAAACACAACGTTCTCTCACCATTCCTGATTTCTAACACACACTCACAGCATTCGGCTGATCTTGGGTCTGTCAGAGCAGAAACTAAAGCTGATGTTCTCTGTGTGTTTTTTGGTCGTGTTCATATGCAAATTGTGTCCGAAAGTCTTTTATTTTGAAACTGTAGTGATATAATTTCCGTTCTGTGTGCGTCATTTCCTTATTACCGACACTGCATTCTGTGAGATGGTATCCCTCGTGTGCGTAATATAAGCGAAAGTAAGTTTCATTCAGTAATAAGATGCAAATATTGCCATCGGACTTGTTTTAGATATTGTTCACTGTAATCTTTTTTCCTGTTAAGTCTCTTACATGCATACTTTGTGTGTATTTCGGTAGTTAATAGGTATTATGGGACTGTTATAAGACGTATCGGACTGGAGATTGTTTCCTTTACACTATTTCAGCTTTAGCTGTATTCTTGAGTGCTATATTTCAGTTATTATGTCCTTTAGTCCGACAGTTAAATCGTGTTTAGCCGATGTGTCGTCTTTAGACGCGCTTAGAGTCTAGTTCCCTCTCCGAGCCCCTCACGTGCTGAGAGCATGGGGTGCAGTTGCGCTCGCTTCCACTAGAGGGAAGTAAAGAACGCCGAATCCATTTAGAATGCATACTTCACCCATTAATCCCTTTGTATGCTTGTATACTAGTTATTTATGGCTCTTTCCGATTTATATTTGACTAAACTGATTTGTTTTAGAATTCTAATTCAATGTTTATTATTATATTGGATATTACTGTATACATTTGTACATATTCATACTTTGTACATCGTGACTAATATTATTTTATTTTCTTGTTTCTTTTATAGACCACACACACACACAGAAATGCATATATTACTGTTTGTACAACGATGTCTATACTCAAACTTCAATAATTAAAAAGTTTGCTGGAATAATTTCTCCGTGCCCTTCTCCTTGACCGGAGCTCTGTCAAAAGAAACTGTCAGACCAGTATTATCCCTTCAGAGCATTGCACTCTATCACATGGTCCTTCGAGCCGGAGCTGACAGCCTTCTGGAGACAATATGGAGCCAGGACAACCATCTGCAGATCCAGCAGTGCGTTCTCGACCCCAGCGGGAGATACAGTTACCAGCATCCCTTGCAAACTTTGAAGTTGGGTACAGACCGAGAGTTACAGTACCTCCTGCCTCCAAAGCTGAGGAATTCCGAGAAGCAATCCCAGCTCACAACATCCCGATCCTTCATCCACCTTCACGGCCGTTGGTAAGAGCTGAGTCATGTCGATCCTCAGTATCTTCTCATCGTAGCAGAACGAGATCTCAAGTCAGTGAGGCCTTATCAACTAAGAGGTCCGTTGCAGAAGGGCTATCCGCACTACAGAGTGCCATGTTGGAGGAACAGGTCAAGCGGATGGAATTAGCAGAAGCACAGCGGCAGATTATGGAGCAGACTCTAGTGGACGAGCAGTGTACTCTTTTGGACAAAGAAGCCAGAGATGCTCTCGAGGAGAAGGAGGAACTTCTCAGAGAACAAGACCGGCATAGACGTCGACTGGAGGAGAAAGCACAGATGGCATACAAGAATAAAGAGGCTATCACAAGGCATCAGATGCTTCGACAGAGACTGAAAGAGAAAGAGATGGAATTGGCGCAAGCAGCTCTGATCACGTCTTTCCTGAAGGAAGGAAGTGAAAGTCCTCGTTCTTCCAGGCCCCTTAGTGAATGTGAGTACAACCCAAGGTCCTCATCAGAAGCTCAGCCTCTTATACTCGACTCATCAAGTGTACATGGACTGCTCCATTCTACTCCTATTCATGTTCTCACACCAGTCTCCAATGCAGTCATTAGTTTATCTGACTCGACCAGTCCTCTATCAGTCCAGCCTGCTCCACAAGTGAGTGCTTATACTACTACTAGTATGCTCGCTCAACCTCAGCCTACGTATATTACAATGCTCCCCCCTCCTCCTCCTGAAATCATCAACCCAGCGTCACAGTCGGCTCCTAGACCAGCTGTAAGTGCTGTGACTTCACATGCTCCGCCACTGTCAGTAGAACAGAGTATGGGCCGATTTCGCCAGCCACAGATGGTCTATAACCAAGCCCAGATCCGACATGTGCCTCCACCTGTTAATCCTTTACAACCAGTGCTATCAGTTGCCAACACGCAGTCCTATCCTTACCCTAATGTTCCATCTTTGGCACGACCGGGCACAGCGCCTTTAGATTACAGGGCAGCGCCAGGCACAGACCTCATGGAGCTCCTAGTTGCTACATCTTATGGCCTTCCTAGACCTACTCTACCTCACTTCACCTCAGGTAAAGAGTCAGACTTTGCCCTGCTCAAGATGGCTTTGGATAATCTGCTCAATACACATGCTCACCTTACAGAGCAGTTCAAATATCAAGTCCTCCTCGACCATTTGAAACTGCCAAGCGCCCATAAGCTAGCCCAAGCCTACATGCACGATCCAAAGCCATACACCTCAGCTCTCCAGGCTCTCCAAGATAAATATGGGCAACCGCGTCAGCTTGTGCAGAGTGAGCTTGGTACTATCTTAAACTCACCTCCTGTACGATCTGGAGATCCAGAGGCGTTTGATAACTTTGCTCTATCAGTACAAGGTCTTGTTGGCATGCTCCGCTCCCTTGAGGGTGAAAATGGCTATGAACTCCGATGCGGCTCCCATGTCGACAGGCTGCTCAGCAAATTGCCTACTAACTATCGAGATGGGTTTGTGGAGTACAGCATAAACCGCGGCATCCTGAGGACTGGCACTGATCAGACCTATACACTTGAAGACTTCTCTGTTTGGCTTCAGTTAAAGTCACAAGCCAAGCGCATTTCATCTCGAGCAGCTCTGATGTTCCAAGACCAGCCTAAGCCAGTTAAGGGCCAAAGGAAATCCCAGGGTCCTTCATCCAACGTGTTTTACAACACTGAGAGCCGAGCAAAGGTAGCCCTTCCAGATCCTGTTCGTAGCCCAAAGTCACCTAAAAGTAAACCCAGTATGAAGCCTTACTGCCCGTACTGCGATGCCCGTGAGCATTACCTCAGTTTATGCCCCAAATTCAAAACGCTCACTCCATCAGAGATTTCTACCTGGATTAAGGACAGAGGCTGTTGGAGGTGTGGCAGAAACCACAAACCTGAGGCATGTACTCTGAAAAAGCCTTGCCAAGTGTGCAAACAGCAACACCTGACCGTGCTCCACGAAGTATGTTCCCAAGAGGCTAAGAAAGTGTTAATGGTCAGTGCTGCTCCCAACACTATATACGTTGACCGTCCTAGTCGTCCGAATAAAGTCATGTTGAAGCTAGTCCAGGTGCGCCTGTACAATGCCGAGCACTCTCTGGAAGGGTTTGCTATCCTGGACGACGGATCAGAGAGAACCCTCATCCTTCCCTCAGCAGTCCAGCATCTCCACTTACACAAAGAACCTGAGAGTTTGCCTTTGCGTACTGTCCGCCATGAGGTGATCCATCTACAAGGAGCTGCTGTCTCATTTGACATCTCCCCGGCTCATTCTCCCAAAGAAAGGTACAACATCTTTCATGCCTTCACTGCCGGTGAGCTGAGCCTGTCTGAGCATAGCTATCCTGTCAAGTTGCTCATGCGTAAATACTCCCACCTGCAAGGTCTTCCTCTGCCGAACGTTGACAAGGTCCAACCTCTCCTGCTGATAGGCTCTGACTTCCCACATCTGCTGCTTCCCAAACAACCGATCCGAGCAGGTCCTCCTGGGAGCCCTGTGGCTGTGCGTACTGCTCTTGGTTGGACATTGCAAGGCCCCGCTAACTTCAACCTCACTGGTGAGCATTCACACTGTTACTTCACCATGTCTCCTAATTCAGAGCTGCAGCGGCACGTTGAACGACTGTGGGAAGTTGACATAAACCCGTATGCCAACGCCAAGACTGTGATTCGCTCCAAAGAAGATCAGCAGGCCCTAGAACTGCTAGAACAGGGCACTGTCAAGGTAGATGTGGATGGAGTACCAAGGTATGCCACTCCACTGCTGAGGCGCAAAGCTAGACCTAAACTCTGGGCTCCAAAGCATACATTGCTCCCACAGCTACGGAGCATAGAACGTCGTCTAGCCAAAGACACTGCTTTAGCTAACACCTACTGTCAAGAAATCCAGAAGCTTGAACAGTTGGGTTATGCCAAACCTCTACCTCCTGACACAGTAGACAGCTCCACAGAGTCCTGGTATCTGCCACACCACGTTGTTCACCATAATGGTAAGGCGAGGATTGTCTACAACTGTTCCTACCAGCACAACGGCCAGAGTCTCAATAGTCAACTGTTGCCCGGTCCGACCTTAGGTCCTACTCTCCTCGGTGTACTTCTCCGGTTCCGAGAACACAGTGTGGCGATCAGTGGTGACATCAAATCGATGTTTCATCAAGTTCGACTGTTACCAGAAGATAAGCCCCTTCTCCGTTTTCTCTGGAGAGGTATGAAGAGGGAGGAGGAACCAACAGTATATGAGTGGCAGGTTTTGCCATTCGGGACGACATGCAGCCCCTGCTGTGCCATATACGCCCTTCAGCGGCATGTGAAGGATAACAGCAGCGGTTATGAGGACATCTTACACCTTGTGGAGACTGCCTTCTACGTCGACAACTGTTTGACCAGTGTCACTAATGCTGATGAAGCCAAGAACATTGTTGACCGGATGCGTAAACTGCTCTCAGCTGGAGGCTTTGACATCAGGCAGTGGGCCAGTAACATTCCCACAGTTGTTGAGCATCTTCCCTTGGAAGCGAGAGCGGCAAGCACTGAGTTGTGGCTGTCTCAACCTCGACAGGATCCTGAAGAGCCAGCTTTAGGCCTTCGATGGAACTGCCTTACCGATTGTCTTGGGTACCGCCACAGACCAGTAGAGTATTCACAGTCAACTCTGAGAAATGTCTATAAGGTGCTGGCAACACAATATGATCCCATAGGATACTTGATTCCATTCACTACCCGAGCGAAGATCCTGATTCAAGACCTGTGGAGAGTGGGGGTTGGTTGGGATGAACTGATTAGACCAGAGGCTCTGCTGGATATCTGGAGACAATGGGAAAGTGAACTAGTCCATCTTCCACAAGTGGAGATTCCCAGATGCTATGTCCCATCAGTAGCAAGCACTGGTTCACTCAGACGTGAGGCACACATCTTCTGCGATGCCTCTGAAAGGGCCTACGGGGCAGTCGCTTACCTTCGCACCCAAGACAATCAAGGTGAAGTGCATGTTGCCTTTGTGATGGCTCGGTCACGAGTCAGCCCTCGTAAACAACTGTCTATACCACGTCTTGAGCTGTGTGCTGCTTTAGCAGGAGCCCAGATGGCTAAAGTCATTGTGACAGAACTGTCAATCCCTTCACAACAAGTCAATCTCTGGACTGACTCGATGACAGTTTTGACGTGGCTCAATTCCGACTCGTGTCGCTACAAGGTCTTTGTCGGCACTAGGGTCGCGGAAATTCAAGAACACACTGAAAGCTCGACCTGGCGGTACATTAACACAACTGACAATCCAGCAGACGACCTTACTCGTGGTAAACCCTTGCTCGAGCTTAGCCAGCCGAACCGGTGGAGCCAAGGTCCACCATTTCTCCGACGACATCCAGACTCCTGGCCAGTGCTTCAGTTAATAGAAGCCCAAGAAGCTGACGAAGATGAACTTCGGAAGACATTGTTCTGTGGAGTCACCACCTGCTCTCCAAACACGACCCTTATGTCTGATATAGACAATTGGGACAGTCTTATCAAGGCTACCCATGAGAGCCTTCACGGGGCGGCTGATGGCCAGAATAGTCCTACCATGACAGCAGCTGATGTCCAAACAGTAGAACTACATGTCATCAGACAATCTCAGAGTGAGTCCTTCCCTGAAGAGGTGAAAGCTCTGGCTGCTGGTAAGCCCATCTCGAGACTGAGTCGCCTGTTAATGCTTGCTCCCGAGTATGATGAATCTGTTGGCCTAGTGAGAGTGGGAGGTAGACTACGCAGGGCAGAAGATCTTGACCCAGATGCGATACATCCTATCATCCTTGATCCCAAATCTCATGTTACACAGCTGCTCATTAAGAAATATGACCGTGAACTGCTACATCCTGGTCCCGAGCGGGTCTTTGCCGAGATGAGGAGAAGATATTGGATCCTCAGAGGAAGAGAGTCTATTAAGCGTCATCAACACGGCTGTGTTGAATGTCAGAGATGGCGCGCTACTCCAGTGGTACCTCAGATGGCAGACCTACCCCCTGCCAGGCTTCGCTTATACAAGCCACCTTTCTGGTCTACTGGGGTCGATTGTTTCGGTCCCTACAACGTCAAGATTGGCCGGCGGACCGAGAAGCGGTGGGGTCTGATTTTCAAGTGCATGACGACGAGTTGTGTACATCTTGACCTACTGGAGAACATAGACACTGATGCTTTCTTGATGGCTCTCCGCCGGTTCATCGCCCGTCGAGGTAAGCCATTTGAGATCCTGTCAGACAGAGGAACCAATTTCAGAGGTGGAGCCGCGGAGCTGCAAGCTAGCTTCACCGCTTTAGAAGGTCCTCTCCAAGAGCAGTTGGCCAAGCAGCAGATCGAGTTCCGTTTCAATCCCCCTGGGTCTCCGCACTTTGGAGGAACGTGGGAACGAGAGATCAAGTCGATTAAGTCAGCTCTCCAAGTCATCCTTCAGGACCACACCGTTGCCGAACCTGTGCTGCAAACTGTACTAATTGAAGTGGAGGGAATGCTCAACGCTAAACCGCTTGGGTATATCTCATCCGATGCTGCAGACCCGGATCCTGTTACACCAAATCTGCTATTGATGGGACGCCGTGATGCATCACTCCCACAGGCTGTCTATGCATCTAGCGACCTTCTTGGCAGAAGAAGATGGCGCCACAGCCAGATCCTGGCAGACCATTTCTGGTCCAACTTCATCCGTCGCCATCTCCCGGATCTTCAGAAGCGGTCGAAGTGGCACAAGGACACAGATAATCTGACTGCTGGCCAGGTGGTAATGGTGGTAGATTCGCAGCTACCCAGAGCCCAGTGGCCCATCGGGAGAGTGGTGAATACCCGTTCCGGCCTGGATGGACGAGTCAGGGCGGCTGAAGTCAAGATCAAGGGACAGACTTACCTACGGCCAGTTGTGCGCCTTGTGCGATTGCCAGCCTGGGAGGATGAAGACGACTCCAACTAAGTAGACTTTCTTTGGGGATTCAAATTTATTGCTAAATTTGGGGGCGGCTATGTCCGAAAGTCTTTTATTTTGAAACTGTAGTGATATAATTTCCGTTCTGTGTGCGTCATTTCCTTATTACCGACACTGCATTCTGTGAGATGGTATCCCTCGTGTGCGTAATATAAGCGAAAGTAAGTTTCATTCAGTAATAAGATGCAAATATTGCCATCGGACTTGTTTTAGATATTGTTCACTGTAATCTTTTTTCCTGTTAAGTCTCTTACATGCATACTTTGTGTGTATTTCGGTAGTTAATAGGTATTATGGGACTGTTATAAGACGTATCGGACTGGAGATTGTTTCCTTTACACTATTTCAGCTTTAGCTGTATTCTTGAGTGCTATATTTCAGTTATTATGTCCTTTAGTCCGACAGTTAAATCGTGTTTAGCCGATGTGTCGTCTTTAGACGCGCTTAGAGTCTAGTTCCCTCTCCGAGCCCCTCACGTGCTGAGAGCATGGGGTGCAGTTGCGCTTGCTTCCACTAGAGGGAAGTAAAGAACGCCGAATCCATTTAGAATGCATACTTCACCCATTAATCCCTTTGTATGCTTGTATACTAGTTATTTATGGCTCTTTCCGATTTATATTTGACTAAACTGATTTGTTTTAGAATTCTAATTCAATGTTTATTATTATATTGGATATTACTGTATACATTTGTACATATTCATACTTTGTACATCGTGACTAATATTATTTTATTTTCTTGTTTCTTTTATAGACCACACACACACACAGAAATGCATATATTACTGTTTGTACAACGATGTCTATACTCAAACTTCAATAATTAAAAAGTTTGCTGGAATAATTTCTCCGTGCCCTTCTCCTTGACCGGAGCTCTGTCAAAAGAAACTGTCAGACCAGTATTATCCCTTCAGAGCATTGCACTCTATCACAAATTGCATGAGGTCATTTCATCCATTAGATCTAAAGATCTGAAGAAACCCATAAATTTCCCCGCCTTCCCTTTGAATAAATCAGGACAGAAGTGATTGAAAGTGGACAAAAGTGACGGATCAAAACACCAGATATAAACAAAAATGTGTTTCCCTCATCTATTTGTGATCCGATCGACCAAAAAGCATCTTGCGGCTTTCCGTGTTTTCAATGTTATATGGTAGGGGGCGCTATTACACAACTTCTGAAGGAGTGCTGAAACTCCAGATCAAAACACAGGAAAAAGGAGCAGAAACAAGTGATAAAAGCATTGCTTATGCACGCTGCACTCTTTTTTTGTTCAAAATATTACTTTTTATGAGAATTGCCAACATTCAAGTCTTGCATGAAGAATGAATGCATGCATTACAAATCTTTAATCTCCAGTTGAAGGGCAAGTAAAATCGCACTCAGTGTTTTTCCGCATTCACTCATCATCCACTGACCTGCCGACCAATAGGAACTCTCCGACGAGGTTCTGGCGCCTCATGGCCATGAGGATGTTTCGTACGGTCATGCCCTCACAGAAACACGCCACCACACGAGCTTTGGGAAGGTACTTGCGCAGTTTCGCCAGCAGACGGTCGAAGTTCTGCTCGCCGGCGTTACTCCAAATTTTATCCGAGTGAGCGATACAAATCCCTTCCTTTCCCGCCATCTCCTTAAACGCCTCCATCCCACTCTCACCATAGTTACCTAGAGAGCGGGAAAAACAGATAGTTATGAATATTTATATACGGTCAGAATGCACAGGTACTTCATTTACTAGACATTTTTAATAAAAAGAATTTTTGAAGCTAATTTATTTTAGTTTAGAGACTCAAACATTGAAGAAAATGTAGAAAAACATATTTTTTTTTCATATTCTGGAGCAAATTTAAACAGAACATTGTGTTACAGTGTAAAATACTGAAACTGATGTCAGACTTCAGCTGTGTGGATTCACTTAACTTGAGGAAGGAAAGGTCTAAAAAAAGGGTAATTCATCTCACACACATAAAATACGCAAAAAACAACCACACACACGCACTGATATGTACATAAATGAAGCTTTGGTCAGGTTCTGATGTGGTGTCTCTGGATATTGTGGGTATGTGTAAATTCTTGTAATTAGTTTCACAGTGAGAGTAGCAGACACGAACAGATGGCACACACACAAACACACACACTGTTGACAAACACACAGTCTCCGTTCATAAAGGGGACAACAGCCTATACTTCCTGTCAAAGATCATTGAACAGAAATCATTTACTCAGTCACTGAAATGACTCACAATAAAACATTCGATTAAACTAATGATCTCTATTTTTCAAGGTCCCATAATAATATCCTTTAGGAACAAAACAGAGATAAAATATCTGTGAAGTAATGACCCACAGGAAAACAGCTTTGAAATTAAAAGAAAATTAAAGGAAATTATATAATACAAAAAAAAATAATGGACTGACAATTTCCAATGTTTTCAGATACTTTACAGTAAATAAATAGGTCTCCTCGATAAAATAAAATGTTAGAAAAAATATAATACAATAAAGAAATGATATATAATATAAAATGTATATTATAATATAAATATAAAAATAATATAAAATAAAATATCTGGAAACATTGGACATTGTCAGTCCATGTGATACATTACAGTAAATTAATAGGACTCCTCGATGAATAAAATATAATAAAAATATAAATAAAATAAAACAAAAAATATCGACTGACAATTTCCAATGTTTTCAGATGTGATACTTTACAGTAAATGAATAGGACTCCTTGATAAAATAAAAGAAAAAATCTAAAATTAATAAAATAGAATATAAAAATGTTATGTTAATTGTTACCCTAAATTTGACATAACTACAGTGAAATTTTTTATTTACCAACAAGAAATGACAGATTAATTTAGCACAGAATAAAAAAAATACATTTTATATTGCCAGAAAAATTCCACTAACATTTTACATTCTAAAAATCCTTACGAGAAATAAAAAAAGACACTAAATTAAAGCAGTCATTAAATGAATATGATTAGCATTGCACAGGTCATTTAGTTTTGATGAGAAATGATGTGTGTTTTGATCGCATACTTTAGTATCTTGAGATTTCTAGAGAGTCTTTTTCCTCAAAAAAATCAGTTGAGTAAAAGTCTTGCATTGCTGTGTAGGAGAAATGATGGAGATCTCATTAGTGATTTCCAAAGGGAATGGACGGATAAACACACACACACACACACACACACACACAGCTCCACCTCAAAGTGCTGCACTCGCCCGGCTGGAGTGTGAATAAATATTACAGCAGAAAATCGAACATCTGAACGTCAAACGCTGGCCTTTCCAAGCAGTGCAGGAATACATCAGGTTTCAGAGCGCATGTGTGTTGGTAGAAGAGTGTGTTCTGGGAACAGTTGTGTATCTGAGTGAGTGTTGACATGTGCTGTAGTGTGTTTCTCTGTAATTACCACAGACACACATGGATCTGAAGAGAGATGCTATCAGGACTCTCTCTCTCTCTCTCTCTCTCTCTCTGGCTGCGCTCCAGCAATCTGGACTTAATCGTTGCGATAGGTGAAGGAATGTGTAGCTCTTCATTCATGATTCTGGCCTTATTTTACACGTTCACTTATAGAGTGTAATGTTGCTGTCTGGCCGCATTTCAATCAGGCCTACCGTTCAAATTGCGAAAATTGAAATTGCGAATTGAAAATATACGCATAATGAAACTGAAAAGACATCAGTTTCGCAAAAACTCCCATATATCGCAAAAAAAAAAGTTTTTGCGCCCAATGAGGATTTTACGGAGGCGTATTGCATTCACTTGAAGAAAAAAAATCTACTCTGTTTTTCTGAATTAATGAGTTAATTTTTCATGAGAAAAAAAATTGCTCTGTTTTTCTGAACTAATGAGTTAATTTTTCATGAGAAAAAAAGTTTTTGCTCTGTTTTTCTGAATTAATGAGTTAATTTTTCATGAGAAAATGTATTTTTACTGTTTTTCTGAATTGACTCATTAATTCAGAAAAACAGAGCAAAAAAAAAATTCCATTAAAAATTAACTCATTAATTCAGAAAAACAGAGCAAAAAAAATAAAAAAATTCCATTAAAAATTAACTCATTAATTCAGAAAAACAGAGCAAAAATTTTTTTCTCATGAAAAATTAACTCGTTAATTCAGAAAAACAGAGCAAAAAAAATTTTTCTCATGAAAAATTAACTCATTAATTCAGAAAAACAGAGTACATTTTTTTTCTCATGAAAAATTAACTCATTAATTCAGAAAAACAGAGTAGATTTTTTTTCTTCAAGTGAATGCAATACGCCTCCGTAGGAGTTTGAAAAAGGAATATTTCGCAATGGAAACATTTTTGGTGCATTTATAGGTCACCTGACATAGATGCCGCCGAAGACGAGACAGAGTTCTTCATTAAACTCATAAAAGACAAAAGTATAATAGCAATACTGGACTCTAAATAGCAAAGAAATGCCACAATCAAGACCTTAAAGGAGATGGAAGGAAGAAACACCTCATATGTGCCCAGAAGTATAAGAGGCTCTAGTTTTGCCTCTCGACCTCGTCTTCCTCACTCAAAAAAATGATATGTTGACTTTAATTAATTTTAATTTGTCAACAGGTTCCACAATTTAAGTAGTCTCAACGTGAATTTTTAAAGGCTTCCTGACATGATTCAAAGGCATTTTATTATATTCATTCATCCATTTATATTTCATTTGATTCAGTGACATTTAATTAAATTAATAGACTTTAGCTAGCTATTTGCTAGCAGAAGCACATATTAGCATCTTGAATGCTAAGATTTACATGCTCCTTCATTCAAAGCAATTGAAAATAATGAAATCAGTCGACAGCCAAACAAAATGCTCCACTCTTCTCCACAATGGTAACCCACTGTAATTTAAATGGTTTAATAATTCCAATGTAATTTAACATTAAACACTATTACACAATATCAAGTCTTCCCCTTTTCTAAATTTCTCAAAAAAACATAAAATAACTATTTATTCTCTCTTAATTCAACCAAATGCAAAGCATGCTGGGAACTAAAAGCACTGCCCAGTTTCAGTTGAGGCAACACAAATCAATCATGTAATCCAACACAAACAGATTAAGTAAATTTAAGTTGTTTGTAGATTTAAGCAGATTGAACACAATAAAATTAAGTTCGGGCAAAATGGCAGTCGGCTCGCACTATACTGCCACCCTCTGGATGTACACATTTTTTTACTTAACATAAATGGTTTGTGTTTAGGACACACATTAGGATTTTGTACTGCTAAGTTGAGACACAATTACATAGACCTTAATAGAAAAAAACATTTAAAGTCAAAAAACACAATTATTATAAGTAAACTATATATAAATATATTATGTAAAGTACCTAGTTCATTTTTTTTAGTGCATTTTTTAATCATAACAAACTCCACCGTGACAAATCTCTTCACAAGAGAACGCTCCGTGACTGTTTTCTGAAAGATGGCACCCGCTATAACTGAAACCGCAACTGTTAATCTAATTTCACATGCAACGAGATTAGCCAATCACAGCAGAGCTCATTTGCATATAAAAAGCACAGCAGCAAAATCCACATCAATTCTGATTGCTCCGAGATAAAACGATCATGAAAGAGTGCAACTGACACTGAAGTGGAGTTCAGGGTGAAAAACACATACTGCAGCAGTGTAAAATATGGGCTCTTTTAAATCTAAACGCCCTAAAAGCTGTCCTGCTGCTCGTGTGTAAGAGAGAGAGAGAGAGAGAGACAGATGCAGTTATCTGTGAAAGGTCTTTCTCAACCCATTACATTACTGTGAAGTATTTGCACTAAATCAAGTGGAGTATCCAACGGCATCAGATGATAAAAATCCCCCGCCGCGCCACACTGTCCCGTGGTGATATCATCGGAAATACATCTCTTAAAACGCATTTCCTCTCTCAGCTTTACCACTATCATTTATTATGATTTACCCATGTTTTATATCAAAATCCTAGCGTTCGTGGTTTGTGAGGAACTAGTGCTGAAACCTCGACATGAGCAGATGGCACATACATGTCCGTCTCCACGGGACACACACACACACACACACACACGCACAGGTATAGTTTCTCCTCACTACGATACTGTACATATCCTACTCTGTGATTATGCTAATGCTATTCAATCTGTATTACATCATAATCACATAACCTCCTCTAAGTCTGAGCAACAACATTCGGGTTCATTTTCTCCATGAGGAAATTGATTTTGAACGCTATTTTATTATAAACGTTTAAAGACGGCCCTACTGTGAGCAATGAGGTTGTTAATCGATGTTTCGGTTTAGTTTTTTATAATAATCGTGTTTAACAAAGTCATTCCTGGTGAAAAACTACATTACCCATGATGCTGTACAGAAAATTACACCAATCAGATTTATTAGCCAAAATAGCTCATTAGCTCCGCCCACTTGCATAAAGCAGCGAATGACGTACTCTCAAAATACTGAAATGTTTGTATAGTCATATGCACATTTTGCAACAAAGCTATTGTTTTTATACTACTTTATATTCCTTCATCGTTTTTAATTTGATGCTGCAGTATTTGCAATGCTTCATGGGTTTGAAGTTCTTTCCCTCACTAAAGACGTTATCGGATTTTTAAACATTTTTTTGCTTCAAATCAAAGTGTGTAGTGTTATGATTCAC